CCTGCCTCTGCCTCCCAAGTGCTGGGATTAAAGGCATGCACTACCAACGCCCAGCTTTTTTTTTTTTTTAATACAAGTAAAAGTATAAATTTCAATTAAAAAACAAACCAACCAGAGGAGCGGTGATAGCACACACCTTAATTCCAGTGCTTGGGAGCCAGATGCAGGCAGATCTAAGGCCAACCTGGTCTACAGAGTGAGTTCCAGGGCAGCTAGGGCTGGTAACAGAGAAACTCTGTCTCCAAAAACAAACAAAAGAAAAAACCAACCAATGAAACTGGGAGTTGGTGGTGCAGACCTATAATCCCTGCATTCAGGAGGCAAAGGCAGGCGGATCTCTGTGAGTTGAGGCCAGCCTGCTCTACAGAGCAAGTGCCAGGGCAGGCTCCAAAGCAATACAGAGAAACCCTGTCTCAAAAAAAATCAATCAAAAAACCCAATGGAAAAAACCAAGTAAACAAACAAAACAAAGAAAATAAAAGCAAACACTCCTATCTTTGCCTCTTTATTCATCTAGTGGCTCTGGGAGCTGCTGTGTATGGTGCAGTATGCCCTTTTGTCTAAACAGCTTTCCTTGCTGCTCATCATGTAGTATGCTGTTGGTCAGGTTCAAGGCTTCTGGCCTCTGGCAAACCATGATATAGCACTTGGGTCCTTAGCTTCTTCCCACCTACCCAGGGCAAAAATTCCCCGGGCAGCGTTTGAGTCCATCAAGTAAGTACTTCTGATTAGCTTGCATCAGACTTTTTCTTTCTTTCTGGTTTTTCAAGACAGTTTCTCTGTATAGCCTTAGCTTTGGCCATCCTGGAACTCGATCTGTAGACGAAGTTGTGCCTTCCCAAGTGCTGGGACCATCACTAGCTAGTGTTGTTGGAGTTTTTCTTTTCAGCCTTGTTGGGCAGCCGTTTAGCCCCAAATAAACACACAAACACTATATTAATATATAGACTGTTTGGCCAATGGCTTAGACTTCTTATTGGCTGTCTTAATCAATAATCCATTTCTATTCATCTATGTATTTCCATGTGATCTTATCTTACGGGAGAAGGGTCCAGACCTGTTACTTCTTCTTCTTGCTACATGGCACCTCCTCTCTGCCTCCCACAGCACTCTCCTTGTCTCCTAGCCCCGCCTATCTTCCTGCCTCCATTGGCCAATCCATGTTTTTTTTCATCAACCAATAAGAGAAACATATATACAGAAGGACATCCCCCTGGCAGAGCATAGGCAGGGCTACCAGTCCAGAAGAAGGCTGGGGAGAGGGGAGGCAGAGATAGCAGTGAAGAGACGCCATGCTGCCAAAGGAGTAACATGCTTGATTACAGGTATGCCATAGACTTGTGGCAATACATAGATGAATAGAAATGGGTTAATAATTAAGACAGAGCTAGCCAGTAAAAAACCCTAGCCATCAGCCAACAGTTTATAAATTATTATGTCTCTGTGTTTATTTGTGGCTGAAGGGCAGCAGGACCTGGTGGGAAAGAAACTTTCATCAACAGGCTAGACTTACACTCTGGAAAAGGCATGCAGATCACTGAATTTAAGGCCAGTATGATCTACAGAGCTAGTTCCAGGACAGACAGCCCTACACAAAGAAACCCTGTGTTGGAAAACAAAACAAAACAAAACAAAAAACAAACAAAAACCAAAAGAAAGAAAAAGGTAGAGCACTTAAAATATTCCCTTTTGACCAGGCAGTGGTGAGCCGCACCTTCAGTCCTAGCACTTGAGAGGCAGAGACAGGCAGATCTCTGTGAGTTTAAGGCTAGCCTGGTCTACAAATCAAGTTCCTGAACAGCCAGACTGCTCCATAGAGAACCACATCTCAAATAGGGTTGCACATGGTGGCTCATTCTTGCAATCCCAGTATTTGAGGTTGAGGTAGAAAGAGTATATGACTCCAGAGATAATGAGACACTGTGTCAAAAACAGACTTTAATCTCAGCACTCAGGAGGCAGAGGCAGGCAGGGCTGGAGAGATGGCTCCATGTTTTGGGGTTTGTTGTTGTTGTTGTTGCTATTCAAGACAGTTTCTTTGTACAGTCCTGGCTGTCCTGGCACTCTGTAGATTAGGCTGGACTTGAACTCATAGAGATCTGCCTGCCTCTGCCTCCCGAGTGCTGAGACTAAAGGCACGAGCCACTATACCCAGCTAGATGGCTCAGTGTTTAAGAGCATATACTTCACCTCTAGAGGACCTGAGTTCAAGTTCCAGCAACCATTTTGGGTGGGTCACAACTGCTTTAAACTCTAGCTCCAGGCCAGAGGCTCTATGAACACCTGTGCTCATGTGTACACATAATTAAAAACAAAATAAGAGGTAGAAGCAGGTGGATCTCTGTGAGTTCAAGGCCAGCCTGGTCTACATAGAAGTCAAAGTCAGCCAGGACTACATAGAGACTCTGTCTCAAAATCAAAATAAATAAGAGAGGAGAAAAGGACTTTAATGTTTCAAAAGGATCATATGATCAAGCAGGCTTCTCTAAATAAGAATTTCAAATTCAGAATCAATGCAATGAGATACACATTTAAACATATGAAAGGGTATTTTTTATTATTTTCCTACATGACATCTTAATGAGTATACCATTTTCGTTTCTCAGCTGACAAATAAGACACAAACTCTCCTTGATGCTCCGCAAATCAAGAACAGTCACCTGTCTTTGGGAGGATTCAGTTTCTTACGACGTCTGTGATACCTTGAGAAGAAGAAAATATTAGAAGTGAGATTACTCCAATAAACTAGTATTCTGGATAGACATCTTAAATGCCTGTGATTATTTTGCTATTTTTATTAGTTATTTGAAAAAAGTCAATAAACTTTATAAATATGCTATTACACACTTCTCAGACATTTCTTAGTAATAAGACATAATCCCATTACAAAAACTATTTTCTATCAACTAAACATTTTGGAAAATCTCCTTTTAGATCTTGAGGACAATTTCATAACCTGGATTACTGGTCTTGAATTAAAACTGAATGCTTATCTTTAAGGAAACTATATATCATAAACATGTTCTATAAAAATGTACTTATAACGCAGTTATTTTCCTCTGGACAGAGGCCTCTTAAACTGTACAATGTACAGAAGAATTCAATTAATGTTTACAGAAAACTGCAGAATGTGACCAAGAATGCAAGCTATGAAAATTAGAATGTCCAGAGCTCCTTTAGTCACTTTGGCAATCACAAATATGCGGAAAACTATAATAACCAATTCAAGTGCAGACAAGGTGAAATCAGCAGGATCAAATGGCATGCCTCAACTCTCTCCAGTCCCCTCTGGAGAAGCAGTGTGGTGAGGCAAATCAAAACTAGTTGTAGTCCTGATCTGCTTCAAGTTGAAATCCTTATCCAAAGTGTCTGGGACCAGAAGTACTTAGAATTTTTAAATTTTTGCATACACAGCACAAACTCTGTTTTATGTTTGATATGTCCCAACACAAAATTCATTTGTATTTCATATGCACATTATACACACAATTTGAAGGTCATTTTATGCAATATTCTTACTGTGATTTGATTGTGACCCTTCAAACTGAGTTTGGTACAGAATTTTCCATTGGTGGAATCAGGTCAGTGCAACGTTAATCTAGTTAATCTTATGGATAACAAAATCAGGAGTCAGATCCTGGGGTAAAAATCTGAATGATCACAGAAGCAGGGAGCAGTCACACTTGCTTCCTACCTCTTCCATTCCTCCATCCAAAAGCACTAGATGCTCTCCCTGCCCCTGATCACTTCCTATTTCCTCTCTGTAAAGACCTCCAGACCTCTATGGTTAATTAGTGGCTAGTTCTGCCCTCTGACTCCAAGCAAGCTTCATTTGTCAGACATAAAATATCACACAACACGTCAGTGCTCAAAAAACTTTCAGAGCCAGGAGTGACGGCCCACTTTAATCCCAGCACTTGAGAGGCAGAGGCAGGTAGATCTCTGAGCTTTGAGGCCTGGTCTGTAGAGCAAGTTCCAGGACAGCCAGGGCCACACACAGAAACCCACTCAAAAGTAAGAGAAAAAAAAAAATTCTACAGACCTAAGTAAATGGAAAAATGTATCCTTTTTATAGATGTAACTATCCAGTTAGGTAAGGCTAAGGCATCAACTAGCCTGAAATTGGCCTGTAGACTAAATGTTATCATATTTAAAATTCTAATTCTAGCAGGTTTTTTTTTTTTTTTTTTTTGAGACAGGGTTTCTGTGTCGTCCTGGCTGTACTGGAACTCGATCTGTAGACCAGGCTGGCCCTGAATTACTAATCAGCCTGCCTCTGCCTTCCAAGTGCTGCAACTAAAGGTGTGAGCAACCAATGTCCAGCTCCAGCAGGCTTTATAAGGAAAAAGTTTTTCAGAGACAAGCTGACTTGAAAATTTAGACACAAATACAAGACACAGGATTGCTGAGAAAACCTTGAAGAGAACGAAGTTAGAGGACTCCACACATCTCAAGCCTCACTTATGGTCAAGTAGTCATACACCGCTACAGTCAATGGAGTCAGGGCCACCCACATGAGAGTCGGCCCAGGTGCTTCTGACACAGACGTTCAGGAAAGACTGTCCTGGAGATTCGACAGCACAAAACTGAGTGGACACAGCACAGGGCTGCCACATAGGCAGACGTTAATGACTTTTACCTGCAGGATTAGGGCATGAATGGACTACAGATCTTCTCATTTTATACCTTACATACCTTTAAAGGCATCTTTGTATACCTCTAAAAACATTGTGAAAGACATATATATCTCGTTTTTAAATCATAGTGAGTCCAGTTCTTTTGATTGGTAGACCTTCAAAACTGAAATATTGACAAATCATCCTACATATTTTTTTCTTAAGGAAAAATGATTCACTGATGTCTAGAAATGAATACTTTTCTTTTCTTTCTTTTTTTTTGGGGGGGGAGGGGGTTCTAGACAGGGTTTCTCTATATAGCTTTGGAGCCTATCCTGGAACCTGCTCTATAAACCATGCTGGCCTCAAACTCATAGAGATCCGCCTGCCTCTGCCTCCTGAGATTAAATACAGGCACCACTACTGCCTGGCCAAAAAAGAATACGTTCAAATGGTATACATTAATAAAAAAAAAAAAAAGGACGTTGGGGTCTACAAGATAGACCAGTGAGTAAAGGCACTTGCCGTATAAGCCTGCAATCCAAATTCCATCCTTGGAACCTACACATATATACACCATGCACAAATGCTAATAATAAGTAAAATTTATTATGTATGTGCACGTACTAACATAGAGTTACTAAGCAAATATATACTGAATGATCTGAAGGGACAATGACTCTAGGCTAGATTTTTTTTCTTCATGCATACAAACTAGTACCTGGGGTTTTCTGCTGGGATCTTTACTGAGAGAGGGATTGGGACAATCAATTCCACCTAATTAAGGTCTGCTTACAATTCAAAGTGCCTCAAAATCCTGATGGAAAAAGATGTACTAGGAGATTACACTAATTAGTAGTCAAAAGCTAATTACTAACAGTAAGATTAAATAAGTAAATAAGATTAAACACAGGTAAGATCCTAGATAACAAGCTTGATTTTAAGGCTCTGAATAGTCAAGTCTCCTTACCTCCAGTCTTCCCCTTCCAGTAAATACAGTCGGGGATTTGTCACAGCATCAGTGACTTGGCTATGAACAATGTTTACGAAGATTAAAGCAATCTGGAATGTGCAGGGTGGAAGCAAATAATGAAAGCCAGTAAGGAAGTCAAAAGGAGACTTGAATTCAGGTCTCTGGATAATGTGCAAAAATAAAAAGACTAGGAAGAAGCTCAGTCAGGAAAGTATCTGCCTGGCGAGCATAAGGACCTGAATCCAATTCCCAGAACCCATGTAAAAAGAACCAACCACGATGGCACATGCTTGCAATCCCAGCACTGGGAGGGGGAGACAGGTCAGGCCCTGGGCCTTGCCGACCAGCCTAGTCTGGTAGGGGAGTTCCAGGCCACTGAGAGACTGTTCAAAACAAAGGTGGACAGCCTCTGATAATGACAGAAGCTGTCCAATAACCTCTCTGCACACCTGCATACAGCCCCCCACATAAATAAGTAAGAAAGTAAGTAGCTACATAAACAAACGAGAGGGATGGTGAGATGGCACAGGCAGTAAAGTAAAGACACTTGCTGTGTCAGCCTGATGACCTGAGTTCAATCCTTGGAACCACGGCAGAAAGACTGGCAGCTGTCCTCTGCCATCCACATTATCAGTGTGGCATGCACACATCCACACACAACACTAATAACAAAAGAACAACTTTTTAATTAAGAAGAAAATAGTATATAAACAAGAGATGCAATAAAGCCAAGAATCATGGCAACACATCTGAGAGTACAGTATAAGTCAAGTTACAAAGCCATGGGATGGCTTGTTAATTCGCTTTCATGAACTGTAACTTAACTGTTACAAAGACAGGGGAAATCTAACAATACACATAAATAACGTGTATTGTTCAACATAAAACATTCAAACATAAAAAGGAATAAGAATAGAAAGACTGGAAGTTGGAAGGATGCTGAAGGGAAGATATGAACTCACAGAGATCCGCCTGCCTCTGCCTCCCGAGTACTGGGATTAAAGGCATTGGTGGCACACACCTTTAATCAAGGCCAGCCTGGTCTACAGAGCCAGTGCCAGGACAGACTCCAAAACAATATAGAGAAACCCTGTCTTGAAAAAAACCAAAAAGAAAAGAAAAGAGCACTTGGCTGTTCTAGAGGAACTAGGTTCAACTCTCACAACCATCTCTAACTCCAGTAACAGGGGATCCAATGCCCCCCTCTTCTCACCTCCTAGGGCATTGCACACATAGCCCTAGCATGAAAATAGGCAAAAACATGCATGCACATAAAATAAAATAAACAAATAACAGGAGTGGGGGGACAATAAGGGGATGGGTGAGTGAGGAAGGCACTCGACACTGTCCTCTGGCCTCCATGCACACACACACTAGCATGAAAATGCATAAATACACACACTACACAAGCACACAAAAAAGATTAACTCAAAACAACCACAAAAAGGAAACTAAAGCCACAGTCAGACACAGGCTAAGAACAACACAGTGTGAGCACTGTAAACAAAACAGCAACTAGTTTTCAAAGGACTGAGGGACATTATTTACTGACCAGTCAGACCGTCGATGCACAATGTTTTTGTGTAGTAATTCAAAATTTGTTTGAAATGAATAAAGGGAGCCTGGGGTGATGGCTCAGAGGTTGAGAGCACCTGCTGCTCTTGCAGAGGGTGCAGGTTTGGTTCCCAGAACTTACATGGTGGCTCCCATTTGGTGGACCTGGGTAATCATCTGGCCTCCAAAGGTTAACACACATATGTAGGGCACTTGCACATAGACAAATCACTCACACACATAGTATAAATAAATAAATCTTTAAAATAAGGAAATGGATAAAGAGCTGAGAATAAGATCAATTATTATCAGGAAGCAGTATTTAGAAACATAAGGACTACTCTTGCATTAAAAAAGGAAAAATAGTGTTATTTTAACTTCAGCATATGTAGATTGAAGAGTATACCATAGCATTCTTGGGGTCAGTTTTTCACACAGAGCACCACTGCACAAGTTGTCAATGTAAAGAAAGCCACCTGCTTCCTCAGTGTGTGTGATGGGAGCTGAAGAGAGGAGTGACACTTACTGTCCGTGTGGGTACCAGCGGTGCTTTGTAGTGAAGAACACCTTGCTGAGCTGTTCTATCATGGGTCCTTGCTCAAGTTGGTCGCTTTTTATTCCTAATTTGGCTTTCAGCACTTGTTCGTGTGTTTCTTCATTATTATGCAAAATATCTGGTTGAGGGATAGGCTATAAAATAAGCAATTAACAAACAAGTATAAAAATGTAAGCCAGACCTGACTGGCTTTATCAGGAAACAACAACCATACTCAGCAATTCATTACACTTCCTGACAGTGAGTAAGTTGCCAGAGCACTTTCAGTTATTAGTTATATTATTCAAAGTCAGAAATATTCTTCTACTCAGACACACAAGAAAACATTGTGGGTTTCTTTTCCATATTACTTTTTAACTTTCAATTTGACAGTTTACCTTATATATTATTAAGGAGAGAACAATGAAAAATATATAAAAGACCTCTGTGGTGGTTTGAATAAGAACGGCCCTCAAATGCTCATATATTTGAATGTCTGGTTGCCAGTTGGTGGACTGCTGAGGAAGGATTAGGAGGTGTGGTTTTGCTGGATGAGGTGTGTCACTTGAGGTGAGCTCTGAGGTTTCAGACACCCACATCAGGTCCAGTATCCCTCTCTACTTGTAAATATAAGTTATTAGCTACTGCTCCAGCATCATGACTGCCTAAATGCTGCCATGCTCCCTGCCATGATGACCATGGACTAAACCCTATGAAACTATAAACAAGCTTTCTTTCATAAGTTGCCTTGGTCATGCTGTCTTTTCACAGCAATATAACAGTAACTAATACAATCACTCATTGTAACATTCCTAAACTGGACAGAGTAGCGCATGCCTGCAATCCCAGCACTGAGGAGGCAGAGGCTGGAGGATCTCTATGAATCTGCAGCCAGCCTAGTGTTGATAGTGTGCTCCAGGCTAGGCAAGTACAGAGTAAGCAAACAAAATAACAAAAAGAGTTGGGCTAGCAGGAAAGCACTTACTTCTTAGTGGTAAGGTATAACAACTACATGGGAGGGAGAGAATAAAAAAAAATAATGAAGAGATTAAGAACAGTACTTTGGTCTCTGGTCCTGCTGCTTAGTAGTGCTATAGCCACAGGCAAGCTAAACCCTTATTTCTCTCGATGTAGCATCTATCTCATAAGAGCTGGTGCAGATCAAACCAATGGTAATGTACAGTGTGCCTTGCTGTTCCTCAAACTCATGGAGATGTCAGTAAACGGTAGTTATTGACCTCTCCCTTAAGGCCCCACACAGGACACAAGTGCTGTAAGCATATTTTAAAGAAGCACCACCTAGACAGTTAAAGCAGTCTTAACAGATTGTCCCTTTTATACAGAGCAGAATATTAGTCATTGTAAATGACTGTCCCTTGAAAGGTACTAGCAAGCATAGCATTAGAGCTGTAAAAGCTGTCAGAATCAAAATGGAACCACAACTAACGTGTCAAGCCTCAACTAAAATGCATGCAAATAAAGCTGGGGGGGTCTAAGGAAGTTCTCACGTTCATAATATCTGATAGCAGGAACTAACAGAAACTCACTCAGAACCACAGCCTTGCATAAAGGCAACTGCAAGTACACGCTGAAAGTTCACTCACCCAATAACTGCCTGGCGAGCCATGGGCTCCAGCCACCCTTGTTACTGTGGAGAAGAACTGGTGCCTCAAGCAACTGCTTTAATCCTCTTCTGCTTGCCCTGTTCCAGCCTACTGAATATAGCAGCTTACTCCAGCCTTCATTTCCTCAGTGCAGCACTCTTAAATATACTGCCATCTTCCTTGCTGTTACTTGGCTGACACAGCCTTTAAATAAGGATTTTCTTAGGTTTTGCTATTTGTTGCTAAAGGCCAAATGTCTGAAGCCAGGCATGTTGGCACTCACTTGGCATCTCAACCCTGGAAAGGTGAGACAGAGAGTTGTCTATCATTGGGGTCACTGAACCACAGAACGAGATAGCCTGAACAACATAAAGAGATCCAGCCTGGGCTACAGTGAAACTCTGCCTCAAAACACTTCCACATTTAAAAAAAAAAATGCAAATATTATAAAGAAGCTGTTTGGGGACAGCATGCCTCAGTAGACAAATGTGCTTGCTTGCTAAGTTTGCTCCCTGGTACCCACGTATAGATGGACAAAACTGAGTCTACACAGTTATCCTCTGGCCTCTACTCCCATGCCATGTGTCTTAGTCACTGTTGTATTGCTGTGAAGACACCACGACCACGGCAACTCTTACAAAGGAAAGCATTTAATTGGGCTGGCTTACAGTTTACAGGTTTAGTCCAGTATCATCGTGGCAGGAAGCATGGCAGCATGGGATCAGCAGCTGGAGAAGTAGCAAATAGTTCTATATCTGGATCTGCAGAAAGCAGGAAGAAAGAGATCCTGGGACTGGCTTTGGCTTTTGAAACCCCCAGTGACACACTTCCTCCAACAAGGCCACACCCCTAATCCCTCTCAAGTAGTGCCACTCCCTAATGACCAAGCATTCAAATATATGATCCTGTGGGACCATTCTCATTCAAACCACAGCACACATATGAACCATACATATCATATACAAACCTGTGACACATACACACAAAAAAGCTAATGTCAAGTGTTAATAAACAGTGGCTTTCATTTCCTAGCAGTCTTAATTCTAAAATATTCCTATTCTCACTGTAGCCTGATCTATTTGCCAGGCACAGTAGTGAGTATCTTTAATCCCAGCGCTTGGGAAGCAGAGGCAGGTTGACGTCTATGAGCTTGAGGCCAGCCTGGTCTACAGAGTGAGAGAGCTGGAGCTACACAGTGAGACCCTGTCTCAAAAACCAACACACATTTATTTTCAAGTGTACAGATAAAAAGGACATTAGAAATGATTTTGCAGCCTATATCAACAGCCACTAGCAGATTTAGAATTTTTGTGTGTTTGTTTTATTTTTCATTACAGGGTTTCTCTGTAGCTTTGGAGCCTGTCCTGGAACTAGTTCTATAGACCAGGATGTCCTGGAACTCGCAGAGATCCACCTGCCTCTGCTCCCGAGTGCAGGGACCACCACCACCCAGCTCAAAATTTTTTTTAACATAATTCTCCTTGACCAACTTTAGAAGAGTACGTGTCTCAGGGAGACAGAAAAACTAACAAGAACTAAATACTGTGAAGCACTCTAAGATCTCAGCCTGAATTCTCTTGTTTTCCTTTTCCCCTTCTCCTTTTATTTTACCACATGTATTGACATCTTGTGTGCATGTGTATGTGTGGCGATTGTGTGGAGGTAAGAGGGTAACTTTCAGGAATTGGTTCTCCCCTTCTACCGTGTAGGTCTGGGGGACTGAACTCACATCATCAGCCTTGCACAACTTTCCCCAAGGAACCATCTGCTGACCTCTGTTTCTTGAGGCAGGTTTATGTAGCTCAGGCGTCTTTACAGTTGATGTGTAGCTGGAGAACAACCTTGAACTCCTGACCCTCTTACCGCTATTTTCCATGTGCTAAGATTAAGGCATACACCACTCTAACTGGGCTTCCTCGCTTTAGTGAAGAAGTTCAAACACTGGGCTGGGGAGATAGTTTAGTACTTAAGAGCACTTGCTGCTCTTCCAGAGATCTGGATTTGTTTCCCAGCACCTACATGGTGTCTCTCTAAATCCAGTCCTAGGGAAACTAATGTCTTTTTCTGGTTCCTGCAAGCACTGCCTGCACATAGAACATAGAATACATGTAGGAGGAACATCCATATGCATAAAATATTCAAATGTTTCTAAAAATTAATTAAAAAAAACAAATTTTAAAATTTGATTTTTGAGCTGGGTGGTGGTGATGCACACCTTCAATCCTAGCACTTGGGAAGCAACACAGGCAGATCTCTGAGTTCAAGGCCAACCTGGTCCACAGAGTGAGTTCCAGGTCAGCCAAGGCTACACAGAGAAAACCGGTCTCAACTCCCCCCTCAAAAAAATCCAAAATATTTGATTTAACTTTTAAAATTTCCACTAAAATCAACCACTAAAAAGATGTGTTACAAGAATAAAGCATAATGGTATACACATATGAAAATATCATTATGAAACCCATTACTTTATGACTTTATGTACTAACTTTAAAACTAAAGTATTGCAAGGGCCAGTAAAATGGTTCAACAGATAAAACTGTCTGTCACACAAGTCTGACAACCTAAATTTGATACCCAGAACTCACAGTGAGTGAACTGCCCTCTACATAGGTTGCACACGAGCGGCACGTGCGCGAGCACACACATACATACACACACACACACACACAAATTCAAAAGAATTATAAAGGGAGACAGAAAAACTGTGGTTTTATGGTTACATTTATATAGTGTGTGGAGAGCACTCGTGCATGTGTAGAAGTCAGAGGACAACTTGCAGCAGTCAGTTCTCTGCTTCTTGGGATCAAATTCAGATGACAGCAAAAAGCCCTTCCCCACTCTCACCAGCTCTAAATACACTTACTGAGTTACACCCACACTTCCTTTTTCTTTATTTTCTGTCTATTCTTTCTTTTTCTACACCCCCCCAATATGATGCCTTTATTTTCCTGAAATAGAAATTCTAAATCATAGGAAATATTTTTGGAACATTCGTACTTTAATAAAATACACACCAGCCAGGAGGTGGTGGCACATAACTATAATCCCAGCACTGGGGAGGCAGAGGCAGATGGATCTCTGTGAGTTTGAGACCAGCCTGGTCTACAAGAGCTAGTTCTAGGACAGCCTCCAAAGCCACAGAGAAACCATGGGGGCAAAAACAAAAGCAAAACACACCAAGCAGAAGAAAACCAAGCAGAAAGAAAAAAGATCTGTTTACTTAAATCTATGAAAAATAATCCTAGCCAAGTGGTAGTGGTGCATGACTTTACCCAGGGGCAGGCGATCTCTGTGAATTAGAAGCCACCCTGGTCTACAAAGATAGTTCCAGAACAAGCTCCAAAGCTATAAAGAAGAATCCTATCTCAAAACCCAAAAAACAAAAAGAAAAGAAAAATAATACTGTTTTGGATTCACCAGTGTCGGAGTGAGAGTAAGGCTAAGGTGCGAGAATAGAGGAGAAATCACCCAGAGTTGACGGATAACAGCAACAAGTATATTATTATCAAAAGTTAAAACAAAAACATAAAAATGCTATCAAGAGATATATCTAAGTATTTTTTAGGTAAAAACTCAAAAAAATTTTATTTTAAATGTAAAAAAGATAATAGCATGATGTGGTAAGTACCAAAGTCAGTCAGGCATGGTCTACAAGGCTAGTTCTGGGTCAGTCAGAGCTTTCCAGTGAGACTCTGTTTCAAATATACAAACGAAACAAAAATTAAAATATTTTGAACAAAAAATGATTGATAAAAATGTAAGTCAAATCAAAATAAATTATGCTAATTTTTTTATCTTGTGCCTGAAGATTGGAAAAAAGTTTTTGAAGAAATAAGAAAAAAATTAAACTAAGTAGTTAAAATTATTTACCCACTGGGGGGGGGGGGCTAGAAAGATGCCTCTCCAGTTAAAAGCAATGGCAGCTCTTGCAGAGGACTCAGTCTCAATTCCCAGGATCCACACAGTGGCTCAAAACCATGTATAACTCTTGTTCCAGTGGACCCAATGCCATGCTTTGGCCTCTGCGGGCATCAGGCCTGTACATGCAGACAAAACACTCATCTATGTAAGAAAAAAACTGGGAAAAAACTTTATCCATTTTGGTTTACTAAAAAAAAAAAAAAAAAAAAAAAAGTGGCATGGGACTCAATGGTTAAGAGTGTACACTGTTCTTCCAAAGGACTCCAGTTCAGTTCCTGGCCCCCATATCAGATAGCTCACAAACACCTGTAACTCCAGTTCCAAGGGATCCAACACACCCTTCTGGATGCTTTGGGCACCCACACACATGTGGCATCCACTCACATAGACACACACATAAACATGAAATAAAAATAAACCTTTTTAAAAAAATTGTTAAATTGTCAGGCGTTGGTGGAGCACGCCTCTAATCCCAGCACTTGGGAGGCAGAGGCAGGCGGATCTCTGTGAGTTCGAGGCCAGCCTGGTCTCCAAAGCGAGTGCCAGGATAGGCTCCAAAGCTACACAGAGAAACCTTGTCTCGAAAAACCAAAAAAAAAAAAAAAATTGTTCAATTGACTAAACATTAAAAAGACTGTTTGGTCCCTTGAAATGGCCCAGCAGGAAAACACACTTGCCCGCAGGCCTCATGACTGGAGTTCAATTCCTGGAACCCACACTGTGGCTAGAGACAACCAAGTCCCAAAAGTTATCCTCTAACTTCCACACAAACATCATGGCATGTACATACACACACATACAAATGAATGGAATCTTAAAATTAAAAACATGATCAGACTCAACAGCACAAAAGTTATAAAAGAGTATTCTAAAATACACGTCTTTCGTAATATACAGGAGTATCACATTTAAGATATTTTTCATTTTTATTTTGGGGGAAGGCATGTGAATGTGTGTGGTTCTGGGAATTCAACCCAAAGCCTCACAAATACTAGCTGAGTGCTCTACCAATCTCCTATATTTCCCAACCTTTAATTTTTTTTAAATTTTAGACAAGGTCTTGATAAGATGAATTTAATGTCCTCCTGCTTCAGACTAACTGATGGGAGTCACAGGTCTCTACCACCAGGTCTAGCTTTTATCCAATTTTTTAGGTAAGAAAAATGATGCCCTAATTGCCCTTAAAGAGTTACCTTGTATACTAAGAAACCTTAAAGGAAAGAAGACTAAAAGACCCAAAGCAAATAAAGGTTATCAGACAATTCCCTTACATACCTTGGTATGTTCGTACGGGATGTCCACAGAAGGGTGGTAGCACACTATTGTCCTGCCATCGGATGTCAAAGCGAGCTCTACCTTGCTGGAAAGGAATGTTTTAGAGACACAGTTAGACTGTACTTAAGGCAGCATGAGTACTTTTAGGTTTGGATTTTAGCTTTTTGAGACAAGGTCTCACTCTAATTCATGTAGTCATGGAACTCACTATGTAGCCCATGCTGGTCTCAAACATATGGCAATACTCTTGCCTCTGCCTTCAAAGTGACTGGCTAACAGATACATACCATCATATCTTGCAGAATGACTTTTGTTTCGAGATAGGATCTCATGGCTACTAGCCAAGGATGACCTTAAACTCTTGATCCTCCTAACTCTATCTCCTAACTGTTAAGATTATGACCAGCAGCCAGGTGGTGGTGGTGGCCTTTAATCCCAGCACTTGGGGAGACAGAGGCAGGCGAATCTCTGTGAGTTCGAGACCAGCCTGGTCTACAAGAGCTAGTTCCAGGACAGCCTCCAAAGCCACAGAAAAAGCCTGTCTTGAAACACCCTCCCCCAAAAAAGAGATTTATTTATTGTATTTTATATGTCTGAATGTTTTGCCTGAACAAATGTATGTGCACCACGTGTGTTCCCGGTGTCCTCAGAGGTCAGAAGAGGTTATCAGATCCCCTGGAACTGGAGATATGAACGAGTTATAATTCATCATGTGAGTGCTGGGAACCAAACCCAGGTCTTCTGCAAGAGCAGCACTGCTAACCACTGATCCATCCATCATCTTTCCACCCCATCACTCCATTTTGAGCCAAGGTCTCACTAGATAGTCCAGACTGGCCTTGAATTCACTAGGTAGATAGTTCAGGCTGGCCTTGAACTCATGATCCTCTTTCTTGCTTTAGCTTTCCAAGTGCTGGGATGATCACCACAGCAGGCTTTAGAGAGTTCTGCATAATATGTACACTGACATCACTCAATCTGTTCAGGTTCAAAACAACATAATCCAGTCTAATTCATCATGTGCTACTTAGAACTCATCAAAAGTACAATTAAAACCAGTATCAAAAAAGAAAGTATGGACTAAAGAGAAGGCTTGTTGCTATTGCAAAGGACCCTGATTCCTTTCCCAGTACCCACATGGTCACTCACAAGTCAGTAGCTCCAGTTCCAGGAGATATGATGCCCTATTCTGACCTCTTCAGACACCAGGAACACACGTGGTGCACATATATACATTTAGACAAAGTCCCCATACACATAATAAACTTGAAAGAAACTATAAAAACCCTGCTCATGGTGACACTTGTCTAAGCACTGGGAAGAGGATCAATAGTCCAAAGTAGTGAGTTTGAGTTTAGCCTGGGCTGTTTTTTCTTTATTTACTTTTTATTTTCTAAAACTTGCAATAAAACACACATAATGTAAGAAAATAAATTGTATTTTCTGCACATCAACTCTGCTCAAAAAACAAATCACATCATATGCTATTCTTAGTTCTTAGAATAATGATTAAGTTGGATAAATACCAAACAAATGGTGCTGAATTCAACAGTGTAATTTGGAATTATTCAGTGTTAAACAAAAGACAGATAAATACCTAATCTAATAGATATAAGCCCTAATATAAAATTATAAAAACTAATTAGCTTTTACAGGAAGTTAAAGCCTGATGCAGAAAGAAAAGAGTCTGTTAAAGCAAATATGAGCCTTCACGGCAACACAGTAGTAATAGATTTTATCTAAAATGTGGAATGTGTATAATCCAGATACACATTTAATCCATATAAATAAGACACAATCTTAAAAACACAATTAAAGAAGAATAGTCAGAAAGGCAAACATAAAATCATTTCAGATATAGCTACGACTCTCATTTTCAAGTAAGTTTTATACATACCAGTTGTAGTCATCTGGAAGAGAGGAGTATGTAGATTTACGACAAGCACTAGATAAAGCTCCATCTACAAAAATCCACACAGAAAAATAGTTTAGTTCACCTGAGCGTAAAGATAAATTTTAACATCAACCAATATTTGTTTCTTTTTTATTGAGACAGGGTCTCACTATGTAGCCCTGACTATCCTGGAACTCACTCTGTAGACCAGGCTGGCCTTTAACTCACAGAGATCCATCTGCCTCTGCCTCCTAAGTGCTGGGATTAAAGGTGTGCGCCACCACAGATTGACAAGCTATGTATTTTTTTTTAAAGGTTTTATTTATTTATTATGTATAAAGTCTTCTGCCTGCACGCCAGCAGAGGGCACCAGATCTCATTCAAGGTGGTTGTGAGCCACCATGTGGTTGCCAGGAATTGAACTCAGGACCTCTGGAAGAACAGTCAGTGCTCTTAACAGCTGAGCCATCTCTCTGGCCCAAGTTCCATCTCTTGAGACCTACATGATAGAAGGAGAGAACCAAATCCAAAAAAAAACTATATATGAAAAACAGACCAACTAAGAACAGAATTATCAAAGCTGGGCATGTGGCTTAGACATAGTCCACGTCAGTCAGAGCCACAGGGCCACACAGTGAGGCTCTGTCTCAAGACAACAGAACAGTAACTAGCATCTGACACCACGTACCACTCTGACACAGACCCTAAGGGGTCCAAGTCAGCACACTGACGCCCTTGTACATCCATCCTATTGCTACACTGTTCACAAATCAAGACAACCACAGGCAATGCGTAAAGAAAACATGGCATAAAGAATGAAATTATGCCATCTGCATAAAAATGAATGGAACTTAAAACCATCATGTTAAGTGAAGTAAGTCACACTCTGAAGGACAGATAGCTCCAGGTGTGGCTCTCACAATTGTAACTCTACTATTAGGGAAACTGAGGCAGAAATCCAACAAGTTTGAAAGCAGGCTAAGTGAGAGTAAAACACTGAAAACATTATCAACAAGACAACCCTAGTGTTAGTGGAAATCCTAGTGTTTAGGAAGTAGAGGCAGAAGTATTCATCAAGGTCAGCTTCACCTACACAGTAAGTTCAAGACCAGCCTGAGCTACATGAAACTGTCTCAGCCAAACAAAACAGAACCAGATACAGCTCAGTGGCAGAGCACTGACCTACCATGTGTAGTTTCAATTCCCAACACCACAAAAACTAAACGAAAGATTCTGGACTAAGAACATGGCTCAGTGTGTGAAGTGCGTACTGTACAAGTATGAAGACCCAAGACTGGGTTCTCCACACCAATGCAAAAGCCAGTGTCTGTGAAGTCAATGATGGGGAGAATGGGAAATTCAGAGATGGACAGATCCTTGGTGCTCTATGGCCACCCAGTCTAGCTGAAACCACAAGCTCTGGATTCACTGAGAAACTGTCTCGTCTCAAAAAATTAGGTAAAAGAGGCAGGTGGATCTCTGTGAGTTTGAGACCAGCCTGGTCTACAAGAGATAGTTCCAGGACAGCCTCCAAAGCCACAAAGAAACCCTGTCTCAAAAAACAAAACAAAACCAAATTGGTAGAAAGGCAACAGAGGAAGACAACCTAAATTGACCTCTAGCCCTGTACACACACCCTGTTGAGCACAGCCATGCACATATCCCTCACACACACATGCACACACACACACACACACACACACACAGAGAGAGAGAGAGAGAGAGAGAGAGAGAGAGAGAGAGAGAGAGAGAATTACAGAAGAGGCTGAGGAAATGACTGACTGGGTTGGTAAAACGCTTGTTCACAAGAATGATGACCTGAGTTTTTTAAAACGCCAGCACCCACATAAAAAGCCAGGAGCAGAGGTGTGCACTTGTAATACCCATGCTGGGGAGAAAGCACAGACAGCCCCCAGACAGCCTCGTCAAGTTGGGGATTTCCAGGTCCTAGAAAAACCATTATAACAAAAGGTTGATGGCACCTATGAAAAACACCCAAAGTTTTCTGGTCTTCACAGGTGTACTCACACCAACATTCACACCTACACACACAAATAAAACAAATAATTAAAATAAAATACACACAGAGAGAAAAGACAAACACTGTGTATTTTCCCTAATGCAGAATCTAGGTGCGTGTGTGCGTGCGTGCGTGCGTGCGTGCGTGCGTGCGTGTGTGTGGGCGACGCTAGCCTCCAACTTGCTGCCTCTGCCTCTAGAGTACTGGATTACAGGTGCATCGCCATGCCCGACCTATTCACAGATGACGTGAAAGTGGAAGGGAGACTAGAGGAAAAGGTTTAAAGAGAAGGGAAGAGGGGAATAAGGGAGAATAATGAAGGGAGGAATATTACATGTTTTCTCTCATGTGAAAATCTAGATTTAAATGACTCAAAAGCAAAAGAGGGATGCTATGGAATAATCCTCTTATACACTGAAAAATTTGTCTCTGTGAATTGGTTTAATAAAATGATTGGCTAGTAGCCAAGCAGGAAGTACAACTGGGGCAACCAAACTGAGGATGATGGGAAGGAAAAGGGGGGAAGTCAAGAGTCTCCGGCCAGACTTTGAGGGAGGCAGGATCAGAGGACTGACTGATGTGTACTAATAAAGGTACTATCACATGGTAGAGTGTAAATAAGGAATATGGATTAATTTAAAATGTAAGAGCTAGCTAGTAATAAGCCTGAGCTATTGGCCGAGCATTTATAAGTAATATTAAGCCTCAGAATGGTTATTTGGGACTGAATGGTTACAGGACAGGAAACATCCAATTACAGGGAGAGGAACAGAACTAGCAAAATGGAGGAAAAACGGAGTGAATAAGTAAATCACAAGGACTATGTATGCACAAAAACGCCATAATGAAACTCATTATTTTGTATGTTGACTAGAAAATTAATAAAAAGTAAAAAAAATTACAACAATTATATTGTTTATTATTATTTTTAGACAGAGTCTCACTATGTAGCTGTGGCTGGCCTGAAACTCACTATGTACACCAGATTAGCCTTGAACTCACAGAGATTCACCTGATTCTACCTCCTAAATTCTTGGGATTATAGGCCTATGCCATCATGTCCATCTCATAGTTATTTTTGTTGTTGTTTTGAGACAGGGTCTCTCTATACAGCCCTGGCTGTCCTGAAACTCACTATAAAGTCCAGATTGATTTCAAACTCACAGAGATCTGCCTGCCTCGGCCTCCCAAGTGCTGGGATTAAAGGCGTGTGCCACCACCGCCCAACTCTGAACACTGTTTTAAAAAGTGTTTATTTTGCTTCAAATGCCCTAAATTAGGTATTTATTGCTGGGAGGTGTGGGGGATAAAGGCAGATCACTGTGAGAAGCAGGGTTTTTACTTTTCATTGTTTGTGAGTTGACAGATTAACAATTATGCATGTATAACACTTTGGGGACAATCTTTAGAAAGGAAGCATGTTCATTTGTTTAGTGGTTTTATCCAGAAGGGAAAAAAGTTTCCTACAATATTAACAATGATTGTTATCCCTGGTAGATGGGACTGTGGATTTGCTTTTTATTTCCCAATCTTGAGAACTACTTAAAAGAAAAAAATTAACATGTAAAATACACGAAGTATAAATGTTCCTCCTGAAGGGTAAGTTACCCTCTACCAGCTCACCCATAACCTACTTGTGGTTTAATGACAGCCAATGATTACCCTCGATTTTTTATTTAGCATTTATGCATGTACGTGTACATACACACAGAGTCATCTTTTAAGTCCACAATGGGATCATTCTCTGATCCCTCTGACCTAATATCAGGTTTTTTTTCTTTCTCTATTTGGTGATCATTCCACGTTGGTAACAGCTGCATGATAATTCATAGTTAAGATGTAGCATAATTTATTCATTCTCCTTTTGACTGACATTTAAGTTTTGTCCTCTTTTTATTATCAAAAACAAGAGGCATATAGAATGAACAAATGCTTTAAATATTCTATACTTGAAAAAGCATAAAACTTTTTTAAACATTAAAAAAAAAAAAGCATCACTTACTTTGGATTGGAAACAAACGTTTCCAGATAGTTCTGTTTGATGTCACCCATTTTACCACTGTTGCCATGATCCTCATCAGGTGATTTGAAAAAAGATACTGTGGGGGGAAATCGCTTCTAAAATCTGTTTCTAGGCACACAGGTTTTCATTCCTGCTACAGAGATAAAGAAAAATAATACAAAGGTGAATGTAAACACTACATTAGCACTAGTCATTGGAAAACAAGGCTTTTCAACTGTTCTGTTCCACACAATTTAACAATGGGACAAAGAACAATGGCACCAAAAAAATAAGAAACCAAACCCAACAACTCCATCTACTATCATTTCACTTACATGTAACCTTCTCAACACTCAATGCAGTTTGTTTCAGTTGAGCACACAGTAAAACTGTAATTACTTAGAAAGTCATTCACACATAATACAGTGTGTACTCCTCAAACTCTAGTGTGTCCAGGCACTGATTCCCAAGTACATAAGACTGTATCACTTCAGTAATATTGTTTCTGATGAAATGCAATATTCAACAAGACCTATCCTTGGTCCATGAAAATTTTAAGAGGAACACATCAATGTCACCGTCTTACAGGTTTTAAACAAAGGGCTCTCGCCATTTCATCTTACTGTCACGTAACATTTAAAGATATGCCAAAGCATATTTCTATTGAATCATGAAAATTTAAAAGACTTGCTTCCAAAGACTTTGCTTCCAAAGTGAGTTGTTGCTCACTTACAAACTGGAAAATCTGAGGCAAGTCATTAATTAAATGACCTTCCAATTCTGAGGGAAACAACCACAATGTTCATGAGATGTTGTAAATTAATCGTATATAATTACTGTATCCCTATTTTCAATTTGTCTCAATGGCTATCTATGCCCTTTTCTAGCTCTGTAGGCTGATTCCTGACACTGTCGAACAGTGCGACTTGCTAACGCAGAGTTCATTCAGCGTGCGATAGTGGCTTGCAATCCGCTTTCCTTTACACTCTGTATCTTTCAGACATTTGATTAGGAACAAAGGCTGACAGAAGTCTAATGATTTATTATTTTAGTAGTCCACTGTTTAGTGTCCTGTAAGAGACACACACCCACGTCTTACATATAAGTCCAAAATCAAAACATTTGTGGGGGACACTAATTTTCCTGGGCTCAAACTATTGCTGCAGAGACTTTCGAGTGTTAGTCCTTGGCACCAAATTCAGTTCCAAATCAAACACCCCGAAGGGTCTTAAGTTTGGTGAACAGATGCAGAGGACCATGGACCGATAAAAACTTGGACCAGGAGGCATCTCAGGAGTCGCAAGGTCAGCCGGACACCCACCAGCACACAGGTGGTGAGCTAAAGGAAAGGCGCAGCCATACGCCGGCCCTTCTGCTGGATGGAGCCTAGGGACACCGGCAGCCTGGCTCTGCGGGCAACGACAGACAGAAAAGCCCTCAACGCGCACAGAGAGGGCAGAGTTTAAATACACAAGTACTCACCGTGGGCCCGCCATCTTGCTTCAATCCGGGTCCTAAAGATGCCGTCCTGCGCGCGCTACAGGCCCGCAAGGTACTCTGGGAGTCGTAGTTTCTGAGGGAAAAGTAGCCCCCGGTAGCAGAAGGAAAGCGGGACGTGCGGGTCACTATGGCCAGCGTTTGTTATGGCAGCTTGGGTTACAAAGGTGCTCAGACAACAAAATCGTTACCCTCCGGTTTCTGGCAGTGTCTAAAATAACAACAGCAAAAACAATTTTGCATTAATATTCAGAGAAACACTAGACTATTCATGATGGATGAAATAAGTTTTCTCAGAGAAGACAAGATTTCAGAAAATTCAAATATGAACGTTAAGAACTGAGGGCGACACTCCGGGTGTGGCTTTGTTGACTAGCTTGAAGTCTAGTCAAAGTACTGGAGAGGAAAGACTAATAAAGCAGGTTGTGAGTTGTCTGGTAACGGTGGGAATAGATTCCATTTGGGAGTTGTTGATTTGGGGATTCTCTGTGTAGCTTTGGAGGCTGTCCTGGCACTCACTATGCAAACCACGCTGGCCTCGAACTCACAGAGATCCGCCTGCCTCTGCCTCCGGAGTGCTGGGGTTAAAGGCATGTGCCACCACCTCCTGGCCAAACCTGTGGTTTTTCAATCCTGTATATTGTCTCTTTGACCTACCAATTTGTCCTGCTCACCAACTGAAAATTTCAATTCAGACACACACAAATAGGATTACAGTGTTTTCAACCCCATTGGTATCTTTACAGCAAGTGAAAAGCTAGCTTTGATGAGACAGGTAAAAATTGTATTCATGCCTCCAGTGTCTTCTTATTTACAATCTGATTGGAGTTATATAAAACATGACATGAGGTAAGTGATTTAGAATTGTGATTGTAGGTTGGGTGTGGTGGCACACACCTTTCATCCCAGCACTCTGGAAGCCGACCTGGGCAGATCTGTAACATAAAGGCCAGTGTGGTCTACAAAGTGAGTTCCAGGACAGCAGGGGCTATGTCTCAAAAAAAAAAAAAAAAAAAAAAGTGACTGTGTCATAGTTAGGGTTACTGTGAGAGCCAAAGTTATGTTTTAAGTTTTAATTACTATGCCTAAGAGATCTATGAAACAAAAAGGCCTCTGATCTGTAACCCAAGAACAGAGCGGGAGAGGGGGCCCTTGGCAGATCTCAAGGTGGTTGAAAAGCAAATATGCTAAGCAGGCAGAGCTTACATGGGAAGTTGTATTGGGGAAAGGGAAGGGAGAAGAGAGAGAGAGAGAGAGAGAGAGAGAGAGAGAGAGAGAGGCAAAGACCTGCCTGCCTCTTCAGAGGGACAGCAGGAAAGAGAGAGCTTGTCTCTTAAAGGGACCTTTTGTGGCTGTGTACAGAACCAGGGTACTTACTACTTGCCATGTGCAGAGGGGTGATGCACTCTGCCAGGTACCAAGAGGTGGGGCCAAGTTGTACCTGGATGCTAATACAGTTCCTGAAATGCTGGAGGCTATTGTTTATAGGAGATAACAAGCCACATGCTTCTCATTCCCCTAAATGAGTATGTTTGGCCCATCTGCAATGATGTGCTTGATCACATGTGGGTGGGAGGCTCACAGGCAGGAGTTATAACAGGAAGTACACTTGCCCCTGATCGGACCTGTTGGGAAATGCAATGAATTATGGGTTTTCCTTCATAAACCACTACAAACTATGATTCTGGGACATTTCCCAAGAACCTGGGTATGGCCCTGGCCAGAGCCCATCCACCTGGCCAGTATTTGATTAAAGCTTGCTTCACATTTGGCTTTAAACTGTGGTAGTGCTGTTTTTCTCGATTGGTGGGATTAACATTACTATTGCTGTGATGAAACACCATGACCAAAACAACTTGGAGAGGAAAGAATTTTTTTGGCTTACATTTCCACATCACAGTTCATCATCAAAGGAAGTCAGTACAGGAAGTCAACAGGGTGGGAACCCAGAGGCAGGAGCTGATGCAAAGGCCCTGGAGGGTGCTGCCTACTGGAATGTTCCTCAAGACCTGCTCAACCTTTCTTTCTTTCTTCCTTTTCCTTCCTTCCTTCCTTCCTTCCTTCCTTCCTTCCTTCCTCCTTTCCTTCCTCCCTCCCTCCCTCCCTTCCTTCCTTTTTTTCTTTTTTTGGTTTTGTGAGACAGGGTTTCTCTGTGTCCTAGAACTTGCTTTGTAGACCAGGCTGGCCTCAACCTGCTTCCTTAGAGAACCCAGGACCACAAGCTCAGGGATGGCACCACCCCACCATGGGCTGGGTCCTCCCCCATCAATCATTAAGAAAATACCTGATAGGTTTGCCTGCAGCCTGATACTATGGAGACATTTTCTTCATGAGGTTCTGTCCTATCAGATGACTTTAGCTTGTGTCAAGTTGACATAAAACTATTCAGCACAGATTATGTGGTAGAAAATACAAATATGGACTGGAGAGATGGCTCAGTGGGTAAGAGCACTGGCTGTTCTTCCAAAGGACCCAGGTTCAATTCCCAGCACCCAAATGGCAGCTCACACCTGTCTGTAACTCCAGTTCCAGGAGATCTGACACTTTCACACCAATGCACATAAAATTAATGTAAATAAATTATTTTTAAAAAGAAAAATACAAATATATTTTATTTAGGGCTAGTGATGGCACATGCCTTAAATCCTAGTACTCTGGAGGCAGAGGCAGGCCTTTCTCAGAGTTTAAGGCCAGCCTGGTCTATAAAGCAAGTTCCAGGACAGTCAAGGCTACACAGAAAATCTTTGCCCCCAAAAAACCAAAATAAATCAATAATGAAAAGCCAGATATGCGACTCCTCAAGAAAATGGCAATCAGTCTACCACAAGATCCAGCAATTCCACTCCTAGGCATATACCCAAAAGAAGCACATTCATACAACAAGGACATCTGTTCAACGATGTTCATAGCAGCACTATTTGTAATAGCCAGAAACTGGAAGCAGCCTAGATGCCCCTCAACCGAAGAATGGATAGAGAAAATGTGGTACATTTACACAATGGAGTACTACTCAGCAGAAAAAAACAATGGAATCTTGAAATTTTCAGGAAAATGGATGGAATTTGAAGAAACCATTCTGAGAGAGGTAACCCATCACAAACATGGTATGTACTCACTCATATGTGGATTTTTTAGACAAAGAGCCTACAATCCATACTGCCAGAGAAACTAGTAAACAAGGAGGACCCTAAAAGAGACAAACTTTGTCCCCTGGAGAAGGGGAAAGGGTCACCATCCCCTGAGCAAATTGAGAGCATGGGAAGAGGGGGGAGGGAGCTACGAGAATGAGAAGGGAAGAAGAGGAAGGATGCAGAGGTCATCAGGAAGCAGAAAGGTTGAGTCAGGTGAAGAATAGAAAAAAGGGTATGTGATAGGTCGGGTTTTAGTTGGGGGGTGATAGGGGAGGGAGGGAGGGAGAAGGGAACTGGGATTGTTTTGTAATTCAATCTTGTTTGTAATTCAAATATATAAAATAAAAAGAAAAGCCAGATCTTTCATCTTAGCACTTGGAAGGCAGAAGTGAGTTTGAGACTAGCCTGCTCTATGTAGCAAGTTCTAGGATACCCTAATGTCATTTAAAAAATTTTAATGACAATAATTTAGGTGTGTGGATTATCAGTTTAGTGCTGCAAGTCTGACTGGTTATATGCCCATAATCCCAGCATTTGGGAAGGAGGAGGATCATACAAGCAATAGTCCTGACTTCCTTCTACCTCCATTTGGCCCTTCTGCATTCCCATCTGCTCTGTCCCGGGGTTAAGGAGACTGAAGGTGACCAGGGGTGCTAAGTAACTTAGTGTTCAACTCTTTGATTTCGGGTCTCGAGGAGCTGGTAAATCCAACAGCCTGCAGATTCAGAACTGTGTTCATACTTAATGAAAGCAATGTTTTAATTTCCATTCGTCGAATCCAGCAGAGATTTTTTCAACAAACTACAATTTCAGGGATAGAACTAGGGTGTTATTTATTCTCTTGAACCAAGATAATTTGTAGAAGAGAGAGGGAGGCCTGGCATGGGCCAGAAGAATTGAGAAAAACAGAACAAGCAAAGTGTTAAGTCAAGGTTGTCAGAGCAATTGCTTTGGTTTTCTTGACCAGATCAGGTAATATGACTCAGGCTGTCAAGCTTTGGGCCTTTGTTATTCCTTGAACTTGCTAAATACATGGATGCAGAGAATAGCATCAGAAACTCTTGAGGTCAGTCCTGGCTTGGGATGCGGTATGTCTAAGTAGCCTCTGAGGTGAGAAAATGTTCTGAAAGCTGACAACCTCTGTTCCATGCTTGACTTGATCCCAAATCATTACACTCTGTGCCTACAATTTTGATTGGTGCACTCTAAAACAAGGAATTGGGAGCTGGGAATTGTAGAGCATGTCTTTAGTCCCAGACTCTGTAGACATTGCCAACCTTGTTTACCTAGGGAGTTTCAGGTCAGCCAAGGCTACACAAACACAGTGTCAAAAAACCAAGGATTTGGATCAGATCAACCAAACCTTGTCCCTTCTTTCTCTTTTCCTTTCTCCATCTTTCTTTTTATTTTTTATTTTCCAAGACAGGGTTTCTCTGTGTAATAGCTCTGGCTATCCTAGAACTCTATAGACCAGCTGGCCTTGAACTCAGAGATCAGCCTATGCCTGCCTCCCTAGTGCTGTGATTAAAGTCATGAGCCACCACCACCTGGATCCTTTCTTCATCTTTTGTCTCTTTCCAGTGCTGAGTTCGAATCCATAACTGTTAGGTGAACACTCTTCCATTGAAGAAAACAAACAACAAAGGTTTCAAAAATCTGTCCAGTCCTTCTATAAGTGGGCCATCTCAGAAGATAGTGATGCACATGGGGGATGGGTGGCACTTGGGACAGACAGCAGTGGAAGCAGCTGGAAAAAAAACTCGGGTGGGGCGCACCAGGTGGGAGGAAATGGCAAGACAGTTCAGGCTGGGCTAGCTGAGTGTGCAGTCACCATCGGATGCTCAGGGACACGGAACGCAAGACTTCTGGGAACCTGAGAGGATGGTGCACCGAGGCAGTGGGCAGGTCCTGCTCTTACCTGCTCTTGCCAACCTTCATGCCAAAAGCTGAGTCACCATCCTCTGGAATTCTGTTTCCGTTG